ATACTTATTGACATTTTTATCAAAATATTTAATATATTGGCATACATTTTGGTATCAAACAATTTTTCGTTATCGATAAATTTATCGAAAAATAAGACATTTATCAATAACATAATCTATACATTTACAAAATTAATTGTCGACTTATTTGTCGGCATAATTTGATACAATCATTTTAAATAATTTTGTTATCGATAATCACCGCTATCGATATCAACATGCGGAAAAAGCCTACTTGACATTGTTATGGCTCCTCAATTACTTATGAAATGTTTTCAATTTATTTGAGTAAATCCTATTCAATATTGTTAGCGATATATTTTTCAATATCGTTATCGATAGATTTATAGACAGACAATTTTACCGAGGTTATTATCGAAGGAGGCCAATCGGTGCCAATAAACGTTCCAAATATTTTTGTGCTGCGTGAAATTATAAGCTTGGCAATAACGTCACATTTTACCTCATTTTTCTTGCATACATATATGTATGTCAGCAGCAAAAGTTTTTCGCCAAAAAAATTTCAAGATAGGCACTGTGAGGATAGGCACCGCGTATACGCAACAACACCATTTCTCCGCATTCGAAAGAAAGAAGCTTATTGAGAATGTGGCCGCAAGCTATGCACATTCAGCGAACCACCCACTTCGTATTTGGTTTTTGTGCTGCTTCTGCAGTCTGTTGGCAACAAAAACAATAAATAGTGCGTATTACTTTTGTTGCACCCCAGAGTCCAGTTGGTAGGCTGTTATGCACCTATGTACGCATCGGCAGGGTGTCTCTAATGCAGTTGCGAGAGCAATAAAAGCAACAACTACTCGCATACAAAATCCACTGCAATCGGACGGCTAAACTATTTCGCGAAGGGTTGCACTGCTATCGCCGCTATTGCAAAGACAAGGCCGCGACGTTGTTAAGGTTCTGCTGCTGCTGCTGCTGCATTTGCCTTCTTGTTGCGTATCGCGTACAGCGTCATAGGCCTAAAACGCGTACCTACACACTTGTGACGCTTAGGCGCGCGTTGTTGATTGGTGGCGCGGCAAGAGCTTGCATGTTGAACGCGCCCGCGCGCTGCGCCAAATAGCGATAAAATTTAGTTTATAGTTTCTGCACAACTACTATGAGAAGATATAGCGAGCGAACAAACGCAATGCAAGTCGAATGCGTGGTGAAGTTACATTTGAAATATGCGCCTACGCCGTTGTCGTTGCAGACACTTTGACATACTCACATACTCGCTGTTTATATGAATCAAGCGGCAAGAGCGCACATATGTAAGTGAGCGCGCGCGAGCTTTCTATCGAACGAGCCTTTTTCCCATCTGAAGGAATTTCCACATATGCACACATATACATACATGTGCATCATTGAATTGCCGCTTGTATGCGTGCGTCTCGCATTAGCGTCGCGTCGCTAGTTTTGTTGCATGCGCTCATGCACCCTCTCACGACCAACCATGCACCCACTCCCTCACCCGCCATCTATTCATTCTTCACGCGCGCAACGAAGTGATTAGCAACCCTGCGTATGTATGCCTCCTTCGGCGATGCTACTAATCATCACTCTGCACCGCCATCTC